CATTTCGCAATAAAAGTTAAATAAAATGACTGACTGTCGTCTCTTTTGACTTTGTTCGAGTCCCTTCTTAGTTTGATGTAGGTTATCGATCAGTGGATATCTTCGTAAATAATTCTGTTGCACAGTTCGTTGTGATTATTATTAAACGATTATCTCAAAATTCTCTCTTTTACTAATAAACTTATCGTAAAAAAAAATACTTATCTTAAAATAACTCTTGTTATTACTAATATACTTGACTTTCTTCCTATATTAAAAAAACTTCATACAGATCTTATCTATTATCTTAGGAAAACAAATTAGTCAATATTTAAAAATCCTTTGAAGTATCTTGTTTCAAAATTGACCTATCGTTATTATCAAAATTTTAATTAACGTTAACACGTATTCTCTTAACGTTAATATAATGACAATGCATTAACGTTTATTATTTATTACATTTTCAGTTATTCTATTTATGATATTACTATCAATAAAATAATATTTTGCTATAATAACTTCCCCCGACACGTTATTATAACAATTTATATCGATATCAATATGCACATACGTAATTATATTAACATTAATGTCCCCCAATCACGTCTATAACGATACCGAGATTTTCCTAAACTATCCAGACTATAATATCAAGATAACGATGTTTTTTTCTAGGATTTCTGTTATTTCTAGACTCATTATCTGAGTTTGTGATTTGATAATATTACTTTTTAAAAATAACGTAAAGTTATTTTGAATAATGATAATCTTTGCTTGAGATTTTTTGTTTCTTTAAGTTAACGTTAACGAATTCATCTATCTATTATTCTCGTTATCTTTTCAGCGAACTACTAATCCGCATACGTGATGCAAGCGTTGGGTATAGAGCAGAGTGTAACAAATGTGCAAAAAATTACTCGTATTTGAGGAACGTTGACTAAATTGTGCCATCACTCTTATTTCGTCCTCGCACACCCAAGAAACAATCTTCACGATCCCAATTTTTCATCTGGTAGGCTTCCATATACAAGCGTCGAGCAGTTTCTAAATCAGCGACACAGTGATCTCTTAAAAAATTTGTAGAAGATAATCCATGATTACAATGAATACGCTGTTCACTTCAAGACAATTTCAACTTTGAATGGCAAAAATCCATTACCGAAGGCAAAGGATTGTAAAAATTACCAGCAAATGAGACAAATGTTAACTATGCTGGGGGGCATGTCTGGTTGCAGTAAGACACGAGTTATTATGCATGAACTAGTGTCATATTTTGATGTTTCCATGAGTTCTACGTTAATGGATGTTGGTTAATGGATATCGGTAATCTAAATGTTTAACTTGGTTAGTATCTCACGTACGATTACATAAAAAATCAGTAGAAAGCGGATCATGCTACTCGCTGTACCATCCAAGCCCGTCTTCTTATTATTCACACCTGCCTGTTTGCTTCTGCAGTCTGTCAAGGAACATTGTCCTCTCAATTCGGCTACGAAGAGATGTATTTTATAAGCTGATGGTACGACTGGCCAATCTTCTGAGATTATGAGCAACATTACTTCAATCTATTTTGCTGTAAACAACTTGATGTCATTCCTGTAATTCTCGATAAAGTCGGTGCTTCATGTGCCTGTGTTAATTCTAACCTTAATGAGTTATAATTGCAAAAATACTTAGTCCTTTTTAGTGCGTAGTCTTTAATCAAATTTAGCGTTAGCATTAGCATTAGTATTTGTGTTACAAAATTTAAAACTATCGCTATTACCGTAATAACAATAATTATCATTATAAAAAAAAGAAAAATATCAGAACTATATCGATATACAAAATGAATTCTAATAGTTCTTCAAAAAATAAAAATGAATATTCAAACTGGAAGAATACTCTTTTATTTAATGAGTTTCTTGATACAAATAATTTTGTTTATACAAATATTGAAGAGGATAGCGATACATGTACATAGTACGTTTGATGATAATCTTACCATTTGTAGCGATAGCATCTTATCTGATAATGATAATTACGAAGGAAGTATTAATCACGAATTGAACAACAATAACGATAATGATAATAATAACAATAATGACAATAATAATTTTAATATGGATGCATTTACATTAGATGAAGATAGTCTTGAGACTGCAAAGATTTATGCAGAGAAAATAGAAGCATTGAATGAAAATAATGATACAAGTGATTTCTTGGATGATAGTTCTATTACTGATATTGGACATATTGATACTACTGAAACAATAACTGACGACGATATTTCATTGGAGATAGATTCTAGCATTAAGTCTTTATCACCTTGTGTTATTCTTGATATTATAAATGGTCAAATTAAACAATGCGGCAATATTTCTATGAATCAACGTTCTCTTGCACAATTATTAGGTGCTTGGGAAATTGATAAAGAAGTATTTCAAAAAGCTTATAAGAATGGAGATATTCAAAGTCTTGGAATTTGTTCGTCACATTTCTCTTATAATGCGGCTAAATTACATTCAACTACGAGTAAAAAGGAATGATCTATAAAGAAAAGTTGAATATATATTCGACGATGTTTATTTTGTAATAAGTATAAGTCATTTTTTAGTAGAGGTTATAATTGCGTTGAACATTCAGCACATATTATTGGAAGAAATATTCAAGTACCCTATTCAGAATTAAAAATATGTCCAGTTTTTAACAAAGAAAAAATATTATCAACTATATTTACTAAATCAACAAATGATTATTGAACAAGATTTATTTGTACTATGTGTTTTAATTCATATAGTGAACATATGTATGAGCATCCTGGAGCTGGTAAAAATCAAAAATTTTCTTGTGAAAAAAAAACATGAAGATGATACTACAACTTCATTAAGAATTTTTGGTCAATGGATTTTAAATACTGCTATATCGGATAATAAAAAAAACTTTTAGCTTGGCTGTCTCCTGTTATAGAAATATTTACTGAAGAAAAAAAATACCAACTAAATCTATCAATCCATTTTTACTAAGAATTATTTTAAAACTTAATCAGATTGAAATAAATAATTAATCTATTGAGTTTATACATGAATTTGCGTCAAAAGTAGGAGAAAGTCTTGGAATGGAATTATGGAAATCACGTCAATAAATAAAGCAAAATAAAGAAAAATTAGAAGCACCTTCTTCAATAATTCAATATCAAGAAGCATTTCCACCAATTTTGACATCTTTTTTCAAATCATTTATTTCTTTTCTTCAAAAAAAAGAATTATATAAGAAATCAACATCGAATACGTAAAGGACTATCAGAAATTTATTATAATGATAACGATGATACAAGTGTTACTAAAATAACAATATTTTTAATTTCAATATTTTTGAATATTGCATTTCCATCAGCAAATATATGGCTTACTCATATATTAAGTAGCTTATGCAGAAAACCTCACGCTGGGCCAGCCAGAACCAATTGGATCAGAAGAATTTGTATTTACTCCGAATTCGCAAAATCATATCGGATAATCTCAAAGTCAGTTCGGATGTGTTATCTGACCCTTCCATCACGGTCAATCTGCCAAAAATAAATTAATATCATCACTTTATGTGATTCTTTGGACAGCAAATATAATATCTCATAGTATGCGGCATGAAAAAAAGTTAGAAAACAAAAGGATCACTAATATAAAGCCAGAAACTAGAATAATAAGAAATGAAAAGATATGGAATATCTCAGTGCTTGATAATATTGATTTTGTTGAAAAAACTTTTGCTTATGATAATATATTTGATACTATTAGACATAGTATTCATGCAACAGTAAGAATGATCTTTCAATTTAGTTTACCTAAATTGATTCATGAAATTATTAATGAAGTTACTTTAAATCTGATTTTCAAGATGATGATAATGGATCACGGTCTCTTTTTAGAGAAACTAATTATACAAAAGATCTATTGTTAACTTATGAAAGAGTCTTTATTAACTTCTAGAAAAAAAATCAAATGATTGGGATTATGAAACTATTATGAAGACAATTAAAGAAACAGTAGTTATTGGATGCAATACCATATCACCAAATATTGTAATATTACAATCTGGAGAGAATCCCAATTGTAATGCTAATGTCCATGATGCTTGTGCAATGTATTTTCAGGATGTTGGAACTAAAAATAGTAGTTATATTGATATTGCTTGTGATGAGGCTATATTTCGTCGTTTAATTTCATTTAAAGAAAATAATCCAAATTGTAGATTATTATTGGGTCAATGGCATACCTCAAAGAATATGTATTCAGTATTAATTATAATATTTTTTGGATACGATATTTTTAAATTAGCAGCACATCTTGGAGTTTTATGCCTTGATAAATTAGAAAAAGTAGTGGATTATTCTGCTACTTGTCGAGTATTAGAAATAATATGGGTTGCAGTTATACTTGCATTGATAAAATATGCACAAAATCATAATTTGTCACTCTTAGAACTTGAAAATTCGAATAATTATGTGATTAAAGTGTGATTTTATTATTTTAAGTGGTGTTCATATTGGATTGGACATAAGATTAAAATTCATAGAGACAATTTTGAAATGCAAATTCAAATTCTTTCAGCATTTTTCTCTTTGTTTCCAGTTGTGGGCAAGAGTAATTATGCAAGATCAGTGACATTTTTTTTTATCCTATATTACAGAAGATTTACAATTACAAGTACTTCTTAAACATATTTGTTCTATTAATTTAATACAAGTTGATCACTTTTTCGCATTTGATGAAGCTTTGAAAAGATTTGGAATAATGTTTATTAAGCAAAATATTGGTGGAAAATCAATGACGATAGATGAACTAAAATTACAAATATCAGCAGTACAATCAGAGCATGATCATTTATCTTTATTATTCTCAAAATATATCGAAGATAATATTTATATCAATAGTGAAAGAAAAACAAGATTACATAAAGATGCGTTATGAAAGCTTGTTATAGATTTAAATATTGCATTTTCTTTACTTGAACCATCATCTCATGAACTTTTTGTCGATTGTAAAGAATTTAATCAAGAAGGTTTCAAAGACTTTTTAAATGCTATAAAATTGGTATTTCACGTATGAATGCAATATTACAACAAGATGTAATCAAAACTGAAACAAGAATTGTTAAAGGTCGACGTGCACGAAATATTGTATCTTATAAATGGCAGGATTTACAGCAAGAATCTCAAAAATCTTTAACAAAAGAACAAAAAAACAATTACAACTTGATGAGAGTTCAAATGTTGATCAAAACATAATGATAATGACAAACTCAACAAATAATAACGATAACAATAATAACAATAATAATATAATAAATCCATTGAAATGTAGATATCAATCTACTAATGAAGAAAAAAAAATACTTAATTCTATTTTAAGTGATGATATCTTATCTGTAGAAAAAGTCTCTGACGTTCTTACACAACTTCAACAAATTAATGCTGATAGAGGTTGGATGGAATCTCATATAAAGAGATATTGGTATAATCATCGAATTAAAAGGCAAAAAACTTCTTAATGTGAATAAAAAATAAATAGTAATAAGAATGTGGCTTTTTTGATCATATTTCAATATAAAAGAATTAATTTTGATGAATTTAGACGAGTTTGGATGAATTTAACAAATTTTGATGGATTTTATTAAATTTGATGGGTTCGATAACGATAAGTTTTACAATATTGATATTTATTATATATCGATATCAATATGTAAAACAAGTGTAATCAGTTTTGATAAAACTTAGTTATTATACATTTTATGCTGTGTTAATATTAAATTTCTTAAAAGAATTCAAATACCACTCGTATGCTTTTTTCTCGCTCCAATTCCATATACATAACAGCAACCGAATTACATTATCCTCCAGCATATCATTCATCCATTGCTGAATTTAAAAGCTTTTTTCTCGTCTTTTTGCGTCCCAATATCTTTTTGATAACAGAAGCCGAGGTTATATAGATTTTGAACCAATACGAGCCGCGTGGCGAAAGGGGTATTCAAATACTTCTTTCCGCGCATTTATCTATGTCACAAACGCGTATTTCGTGTTAAGAGTTTTGAAAGAAAAAAAGCAAAAATAAGAACAAAAAAAGAAAAAAACCGAAACAAAACAGGAGATATTGTATATATATAATCGCGCCTATACATTATTCGATAAATTTATAATTTATCACACTGAATGGTCTGTCGAAATAAAAATATCGACTGTTTGGGTGACGTTCAACATCCCGACAACCACAATCCCAACAATACATAAGCCCAACAACGAAATCCCGAATGAACAGCATACCGAAAGCACGAAATCCCGAATGAGCAGCATACCAAAAGGACGAAATCCAGAAAGGACAGCATCCCGAATGAACAATATACCGAATGCACAGCATACCGAATGCACGAAATCACGCATTTACTAATCCCCCAGGTTTCTGATTGGTCGAGGATATTAAAGGTTAATTTTA